TGAACAGACGCACGGCAACGTGGAATCTAATTGTTTTATATAATAAAGAAACAAAAAAAAAGTTAATGGCGTCATCTCTGCGTCTGTCCTCCAATAGATCATGAGTAAGAACCAATCAGAATGTTTCAAAATACTTAAAAACGCATGCAGTCTTATAAGAAATCAATCAAGCTATCCAACATCCTTCGTTGATTATCAGTCACGCATAGGTCCACTCGTTCAAAGTTTCTTAGTTCTCCATATATATTGCCCGGACAAGTTTGGCCGACACAGCACTCGGAGTACTGTGTCGGCCAAACCGGGGTAGTTGGTAATATTGATGCCTCGTTCCCAATACGAATTCACGTAGACAACCCACGAAAGTGTTCTACAACAACAACAAAATATATATATTTTGACAACTGAACGTCAAACCGGCCGGTAGTGATAAGAGGAGGATGTACTAGCAAGCTATAAAATATCACAAGGAAAAAAAAAAAGAAGTAACTACGTATAAACAAAATAACATTACCACCCTCAAATGTCGCAAATGCCTGAAATAGCAACAGTTAATATTCGCCGATGCGGGAAGTCACAAGGAAGAAAGTATACAGATGGATACAAAACAAAAATACAAAAAAGCTACCAACGCGAGTATAGCCTCGCGTAACAAAAACAAATAAAGAACACAAGAAAAGTAAGGAAAAATTGATTGACTGGATGACAAGATGCGAGAATGAAGACAAGGTTATAGTTATATTCGCAAACTTCTTGAAACACTTCGATAATGGGCGTTACAGACTGCAACGCAGTCATCCTTGAATGATAGTTTACCCAGTGTAAGGTTACGAATTATATTCTTTATGAGTTATTTTAGAGTTTTCTATCAAATTGGAAGAACATGAAGAAATACTATTCCAAATTATCTTTATATTCCAATGCGCGAGACACGTAAAAATACTGTTTCAGAGATCAGATCGATGACACAAATTCAAATCACAACTGGACAAGAACTCACATGCAACTAAATAATGATCGTAGAACGATTGAAACATTTCTTGTTACAAACTGAAAGTGGTTTCTCATATTTTAAAAACAGTTCTTTGTCTGGTTTTATCAAGACTTTTTGGATCTGTTACTCCAGATTACTGTTCCAATACAGGAAAAATAACTTTTTTTTCCCGTTTCCTAGCGTGTAATCCTTGACGAAATAATATATTAACAACAAGGTTTATACGCAGAAACTAAGCAGTAGAGCACCAACACCCATCTATAAATAGCTATATGTATAATACACTGTTCAGAATCTAAGTGCAGTCTCATAGTTGTATATAGGTACAGTTTTTATTGCGTTCTCTCGGGTTCAGTCCTAAAATGGAATCACACTCAAACAAAGGCTGTCAAAAATAAAAATATTGTTTGTAAACTTCAAGAGGGTAACCCGCGACACTTCAAAAAAATTACTAAGGTAATGCCCATGCATTATTCACGCGGGGGAGGGTTATTTCTATAATATTTCACGCCGTTCATCATAATTACAAGTATCATCATCGTCATCATCATTTATGTAATCCATATTCCCCAGGAGCCGTAAACTAGTTGTAATACAGGCTCGTATTCGTTGCTGCTTCGTTTGGTTTGTTCTGTGATGATAACACTAGGTTCGTGATCTCGACAACTGCTACGAGTTCTGTAATCAGCAATTTTTTTCGTTTCCCTTTCGTGTCACAACCAAGGGTCCAATATTTAAACGATGCCTCCCTTAATTATACAATATCGGCCACCTCACCGTACACCTGTAATGTGCATTCATCCGGCGCAAGGTTCATCACGACCTAACACAGAAATTTGTCTCTTCGCAAGACGACCTGTCGATCGGTTGACCGAAAAACCAACTCAAGCAAATAATTATCCAGAGCTTGCCTGTCCGACCTTGTGTCTTCCCTATACACAATGAAGGTTTTGGTGGTGTTGATTTTGACATGCACTATACAGCGCGAAGGTAAGCACTGTGAATACAGCATCAATGACTTGGTTAGTAAAGATTACAAATGTGTTTATTAAGGCATGAGCTATAAGCAAATGGAGATAATGAGCCTGAGCAAGAAAGCGCAAAACCACTGAAATTTGTGAAACTCGATTCAGACAAAAGTGTTTTCCTTATACTTTAGTTCCAGTGAATTTTCTTCCATCTTTCGATTCGAACATTCGGCTGTTTTTATAAAAAGTTACATAATCATGATCAGCATTTTAATGAGAAAGGTTAATTTCCTGCTGAAAATGTCTGCTCATATACTTGATATGTGTTTTTACATATACGTGTTTAGATAAGTTCTGACTTCATCAGGGTTTGCGTAGTTTCTTTTAAAATTCTTAATACTTCGCTGGCACTCAATTGCGTTTCACGCCTAGGTGATGAATCAAGTTGGCACTGTCTAAACTAAAAAAATACGCTAGCTTAGGTTGTAAATGATATTTTATGGAGTTGGTGTACGTCACATTAATGTGTTTGTTATAAAATGAGTCTTTTCTTTTCCTTTTTGTTTCTTTTAATTTCTTTCTAAACAACCTCGCTTGCCTTCGCAAACCGGCGAAGTTGAGGGACAATGATCTTCGTCGG